GGTTATCCACTAACTTACCCTTAAACTTACCCGGGTATGTCACATAACCTGCTTTCTGGAATACCCCCCAGGTCCGCAGTGGTTCGTTGCTGATTGTTGATGTTTGTTGCTGATGGTCTTGCTGCTGTGGTTTCTGCTATTTTTTGATTCCCTGCCTGTTTCTCCTTATAGATCATTTAGTTTTGTTAGTTACTTCAACCCCTCATGGTCTCATTTTGTTTTTCAGTGTCTCCCTGTATTCAGTTCTGCTAAATAAATCCTTGTTGTCCCTTGAAGTCATAAATGGGTCGTCCACATTTCTGTTCTGACCTGCACTATGCCTCGTCCACGCTCCAAACCCGTCCGTATCCCCAATAATAAGATTATAGTCATATTTATTATGTATTATGAATGCTCTATGAAGCTCTCATCTATAATGCACTATAAATACCTTCAAAATGCATTATAATGGCTTATACTATATTATAAAGGTATCTATAATGCATCATGATGACTGCTTTAATTAAAGTGTTACCGGCATTTCTTACAGTAGTTAAAAGGAGAGGTACCTTTTGTGTCGTTAGACATGCATGTGACTTCAAGCTGCATGTCTGGGGAAAGAGACTATGAAGTAATAACAGATCTGACATCTACTTTAACAGTTTTCCCCCTTCCTCAAACCGTTATGCTTTCCTGCATAATACTGTATGACTGGCAATTTGTAAAAGATAGTGGATTGACAAGGAAACAAATCATAAAGATACGAATCAGCTGCTGTGTGTTTCCTGGCAGTTACTGAAGTGTTAAGCACATACACTAGTGGCCAAAATGGCGGAGGCACCTAGCATTTTCACTAGACATTACACTTTAAAAATTACTACAAAAATATTGGTGGTAAAGTTTATAAACAGTCAAAGAATGTTACAAATATCATACATTGGATGATTAAATAAGTAACTGGAACAAAAGTTCTGCAATCTCTAAAAACTGGACGTGTTTCCACAATTTTGGCTACTGGTGTATAAGACGGACTTAATTTTTAAAAATTAGATAAAACTCAGGGGAAAAAATGTCAGGTGTATCTGTTGATCCATCTGCCAAAAGCCTGGAATTTCGAGAAGGCTCGTGGCTTTGTGAATCGTGTGCACTGACCTGTCCGGGTGTAGCGCTTCATTCTCCGGGGTCCACTAGCTGTGGCCATCTCGCCTTTTAGGAGACCGTTAACCCTGCGCGACCAGGCCCGCTGACTCCGCCCATCCCTCACACCACACCTGGGAGCGGCCATCTGCTGCAGGGTGGCACCGTCCAGCTGGCCTGTGACCGGAAGCTGGGACAGCCACTGAAACTCCCTAAGAGGCAGCAGATCATGTCACATAACTAGTTAGTGCCTCATTTAATAATCGATAACATTGTTTCACAATCTGGTCCTCAGGAACGCACAGCCGGTTCACATTTTTGCTCCCTCGCAGCTCTCTGCCAGATAGTCCACATTTTTACTGCCTCTGCTGGGAGCTGGGAGGGAGCAAAAACATGGACTGTCTGGGGGTCCCTGAGGACTGGATTTGGAAACACTGATCTATAATATGCAAAGGAATCAATTGCATTGGAAATTAAGCACTTATGGAAATCTATAGGAGCTTTTTGCTCAACTGTATCATATGTCTAAACTGCACAGCTGTTCGCAAACATTCTTCGACTAATAACCCTCAATGACAACTGGTTTTATGGCCCCTTCCTCTTGCTGGTGACAGGAAGTGAAGTTCTTCAGAATCTGGGCATATAAGTATTGACAACTGAATTGTATCTGTAAAGCAAGGGTGTAGTCAATGGTAAACCGCTTCAGATAGAGGCAAGAGTTTATCTAAAAATTCTAGGCTCCCTGACAGAATGTCACCTTTGGTCCCTTGCCCAATTTCACATATAATTTTACACATTAATGGGCCCCTATTAAGTGCTGAGTCCCCTGCATCTCTCAGAGCATTCCTGCCCCTCTGAGACCACTGGTCAAGGGTTTGCATTGACGGAGGACTGCTTAACATTACAATGCAACAATGCATATATTTTATGTAAACTTCAAGCTATCAATAAAACCAGGGCAACATGTACACTTTCAGTCAAGTCAGACGCACTTGCTAACTCAGGGTGTAAATAATCAGATCATGGAAGTAGTTGTTCTTTGGTTTTAAACATTAACGCTCACTGACCGTGGGTGCGTTTCTCGAACAACGAGGGAAGTTAGCATCGTACTACGTAAGTCCGCAGTATCGTTACCTATGTAGTTTGAACTATGGTTTCGGGAAACACCTGCGTCGTACTTACATAGCTCGAACGACGGAAGTTAGCAACGATGGTTTCGAGAAACGCACCCCATATCGAGAGATACAGTCTTAATGTATTTTCTTGGTCAAGAGCATGTCATATTGAAATTAAGCATGGGTAAGTGATTTGTTTGATTATGGGCTGCGGCGTTCTACTTGAGTAACGGCAATTGTAGGTATATGCTAGCCCTACCTGGCTACAGGTTCTGCAAGACTTGCATAACCCTGCAAGCAGCAATCGGGCCACATGCGCTTGTTTTTCTTGCTGTGAAATGCTGAAACGCAACAAATTTTCATTTAAGCCCAAATCTGACCTCAACAAGTATAAGCTTCAGCTATACATATGTTACTGGAAAAGTACAAACTTTTCTACAGCTGGATGTGGTTGCTCTTGGGTGCGATCCCAAATGCTGTGTGTACCACTGTAATGTCTGTCCTGTCGTGAATGCTGCACTGTGGGTTCTGGAACTATGCTATTTAGTTTCACTATGTTTTGTACACGGCTGAAATGTCGATAAAGCTTTTTTTGACTTTACTTGACTTGATACATTACCTGACAGCTGAATCGAGCTCAGCTGAACTGTGCTTGTGTTCTTCCTGATGTAGATACCCATATTTCTCCAGGAAATCCTGCATTGACGAGACACATTTATCCCTTTGGATTTACACGTGTTGCAAAAGCATTAAGGCATCTAACCCCATGGACAGCGTCGGCTCTCATTATAGTTGGTATTGCTATTCTAAACACCATTAGCTGCTCAGTGCCACTCATGAAACAGTTTGCTGTCACAGTCTATTGATAAGCAATGATGTTGGTTCTCTCCAAGGTCATGAGCCACGGTCAAGCCAAAATCATACTATGAGGCCATGAATAGCAAAGCGTGTGCTTTATAATACAAAGCAGGTCCTAGAGGACCACTTGGGCTGCAGCAACGCTGAGAGCTAGGACATCTGGTGAATGGTACGGAGTTAAAAACCTTGGCACTGCATAAAAGGGCCCTTCTGACTCTTCCCATGTGTTTGTTGGGAGAATCAAACATGGTATAAACACCAATCAACATGGAGGCTGCCCTGTAGGGGTAACACTACAGATGGAGCTGAGAACCTCAAGCAGTAATCCATGTTACTCTACAGCTGCAAACCGCCTCCAATTTTTTTATGACGCCCCGTAGTTCATCCCCACGCTCTTCACATAGCAGGCCAGCCCGCGGTTTTCGGCTCTTCGGAACTGACTTTTACAGCTGGGCCGAGGCCTCTCTGCTCCCAGACCCACCCATAACAAAACAGTCCCCTGACAGCAGGACGTCGATGTGGCAGGCCTGGGAAAAAGGCATCTGCACACAAACACAGCCAAGATCGAAGATAGTTATTTACAAAGGGCACATCCCGGACAGGATGCCCATCATCAGGAATCCTGCACACAGGCCATGCCTGCAAAAACACACACACACATGAATCCAACTAAACCATATCTATTAACTGTGGAACACATGCAAACATCCAAGCCCAGCACACTGAGAGCTTAAGGCAGGAATTACATCGACAACCGTAGGTGTGCAAGCCTACAATGCCAAAATAAATCAATAGAAATGTACATCATTTAAAATACTGTAAATACAATAAGTTTTAACTGCTACATGAGAAACCGTGACCTTCACCAAAAGAGGCATCTGAAGATGGATGATGGATGGATGGATTGGACGATTTTACCATACTTTTTTTTGTAAAAGTTCCAAGCAATAGACAAATATTTACATGCAGATTATTTTTTCTATTTTAATTTGCTCTGTTAGCGTTTAAAACACAAGAAGATATTGTTTCTGCTTGCTCTTTGGTTATAGATTGACTATACAAAATTTCCACTGTACGTGCTAGAAATAAACTGAAGTCAGATTTGAATTCAGCAGCAAAAACTCCTTTAGGAACACCACTTTTTATTTTGGAAGCAGAAAGAATGTTAAAAATTTGTTGCCTAGTGCAATAGCGATCAAATATTCAATAAGCATCCAAGTCAGGATCTTAAATTGACATGATTACGGCTCTTTGCCTAGGAAAGCGATTTTTCACGAGTGAGAAAGTTTTACACAAATATCAAGACAACACTTGTTGGTAAAAATGTGAAGCCGGCACAAAATTAGTTGAGAACTTGCCTCTTCAAGCATTTCACGTGCCGAGAGAAGCATGACGGGAATATGACAATTAACGGCTCCTTCATTCGGATTTAGACCTGCGGCGAATTTTAGGCCTGCATGAAAACCCTTTCACACGCTTTCAGCTTGGTATGCTGCGGAGAGCCTGCGAGAATGAAGCGCCTTTCGGCACATTTAATCCACAGAGGGGATCAAAACTATGGAACAACTCTTGACATGTTGCAGTTATATGACAACATTCCAGTAACAATTGGGGGGGGGCTGTAATCTTAGTGTCACTGTGAGAGGCCCATGTCATACCATAATAAGTTTGCTCCGTCTCTGACATCCAGAAGGGTAAATCAGCAAAAAAATATAGCCTTTAGCGGGTATTGACTACTGGAAAAAGTGATAACTGACAGTTAGAAGCTAAATGCGGCTGATTAGTAAAAATAGGGAAGCCGAAATTAAAGGTACGCCGGCTTTTTTCTTTCTTTTTTTAAATCCCCGGTATTTCGGTCGTGTACGCGTGAGGGGTAGTAGATATTGGTTTACAGCCTACGCATGCCTTGTCAGCCAGAACTGAGAAAGAAAACAGTGCTTCTCAAATGACCTGCAACTCCCAGCGCCATAGGACCGCATGTGAAGAGCCGCTATGTCGCGGTTAGCCATAATTCTACCCCCGCCTGGCGCTAGATGCCGTCCGCAAGAGCTGGCAGATTCGGGTCTCTATCAGCCAGTGTTTATGGATCAAATCCTTTCTGCGTAAACGACAAGCGTTAGTGCCAACGTTAAAACATTGAGTTACACTCATTGCCTAAAAACCTGAACCTATTTCGATGTGTGTATATCGGAATGGAACTCTAGTCGACACCTGTGCGTGATAAAACCTTAATTAATAGGCCCACCACCCAAAAATCATTTCAGCTAAATTAGCAAAAAATTGCTTTCTCTTTCAAACTATTCACTTTCCGCCTTATTTTTCCTTTCTTCACTTACTACAATTTACAGTTTTGTTGGTTTTAGGTACACCACTTTTAAAAGTTGCGCTTGCGGATATAGCATATAGGCTACTTTAAAGAATTAATGAAAACGGTAGAACTACGCCAACATAATTAAATGTTAAAACAAAAAAATGTAAAAATTAACGAAAACATTGCCCATTAATTTAACCGACACTATCAAATGACGACTATACACGTATCCCACAACTTTCGCAGTTAGGCAGCTTTTACCTTGAATACTAACGCAGGGTCTTACGCTCCTGTTTCTAATTTATTTGTTTGGTGCAGCAGTAACGCACGCAGGCAGACCGACATGCCCCATTACCTGCGCAGTGTCAGCGCGCTGAAACTCCGCCACCCGTGAGACTGCGGTCCCCTTCACGAGCAAAGGCGCGAGCAGCAGCAGCAAATGATGAAGCAGCCTCCCAGATCTACTTCGTGGTGATGTGACATTAACACTCATCCTGGACTCCTGACAGCTAACGCAATCCAACACACATTTTGCAGTCTTGCACTTTAGGAACTTAATGCCATGGTTTTATTTACCTAATAGGCGATTCCCTCATTCCCTTGCCTACATTCTTGTCCTTCCCATGCCGGATATGTCATTACAGCTATCCGTAGCCTATGGGCAGGGAGAGTCACGTACTTTGCTCGTGGAGCGGAACCGCCCACCTCAGGCGGGGGTGAGCGCATGTCGTTACTACAATTGCATTAGCGCTGGTAATAACGGTTTTACAAACCGATCGTAATATGGCCGGAAATAGCATTGTGTGGTTAAAGGAGAGGAAGAAGTTAAATGGGCTCACCCTAGGAGATAAAGGACATAGTGTTCCATTCAAATCCATTGAGTGCCCAGCACATTTTGTACTGGGTGCTAGCAAACACCGCTATTTTTATGCACAACAAAGCAGACAGTTTTCAAATGGAAAAATCAGACAAGAGTCTTATTACAAAAAAAACAGGCCTTCAGAAGTAAAACATTTTATTCATCTTAAAAAACAATGTCATTTGGAAATGCAATATCTTACAATTTAACATTGCGTTCCATGCTCTCAGCTATGAGAAGGGATAGGAAATCTTGACCAGTACTACTCCATACTGGGAGAGAGAGCAGCGGAATTGGAGGATCTCAGCATGGAACAGGTTAGGAGCAAATCTGTGGTACATGGACAAAAATAAGCCAAGTGAAAGGAAATGTGGCCACCCCCCCTCCCCCCAATCAATCTCCAGCCCGGAATGACTCCTCAAGGCATCTTCAGTAAGGTCTGTCACGTCGTTCTTCTCTGTGATCGCCCCTGTTATGATGGGAAGAGAGGGCTGTAGCTTTATCAGGTAAAACGGTACATCTGTACAATCTGCTCGCAGTTACAGGGCATTGAACTGCCTTTTGGAGAGGAGCTTGAAACCACCAGTACAGTGAGAAGTCCAGTGACCTAAGACATGAAGGACTGCCCCCTTGTGGCTAAACCTCAGAGGGGGGATTAAGCATTAAGACTTAAAAATCTACAGATTTCACCTGAAACTCCCAATGGGAGTAAGTGAGATGAACTACCCAGAGGGCCTTAAATCGTACAAGGTGGTCCTTGAGATGAATAGCAAACTGAAGCCGACAAGGCTGGACCTCCGCGTTTGAACACTATGAACCTTTAGCAGGACAACGGCTGTGTCACTCACCGGCCGCCCATCTTGAAGCCTCCATATCCGCCACGGTCGCTGCCACGGTCGCCACCACGGAAGCCGCCGCGTCCCCGAAAGCCTCCTCTGTCCCCACCGAATCCTCCTCGTCCACCACGATCTTTACATAAATGAAAGCGGAACGTGAACGCGACCGACCATTTGCCTGACGATGGCTTCCTAAGGACCGAAGTCAAAATTTGAGGCTGTACCTCCAATTGAATCTCCAGGTTTTGGTGCTCCACACTTGTTGCACTCTGTTCTTCTGGCAAAGTTCATGTTCCCACAAGAACTGAAGAGCACAAATTAGGTTTAACACCCATCCAAATCTAATCACCTATTCCTGCAAAAAGGACCAATCTATTCCCACAAAGTTGAAGAAAATCACCAACTCCAGTTTCAGAAATAATGGGGAAACATTAAATTCTACACTGCTTTACACCATTGTCTGGTCCGACATGACAAGGTCAAAAGGTCATCCTCACCTGTTGGGACAGGGCCAGTCTCCCCCTCTCATGTCAAACGACGGGCCACCAAACCCTCCACGTCCACCCCGGTACCCTGGGAAACAAGGTCCATTTGATACATGGTCACCACACAGCAAGGGTGGGCAATCTTATCCGCAAAGGGCCGCTGTGTGTGTGGGTTTTCACTGCAGCTCCCTAATTAGATTACTAATTAGAGGACTGATTGGCTGAAGAGTCCTCACACCTGGGTTTGAACAGCTGACCTAAAGGTTCCCAAAAACCTGCATGCACACCGGCCCTTTGCAGATAAGATTGCCCACCCCTGCAATACAGCATACTTCTCACCCTTTGTTAAATTTAAACATTGCTAACAAACGCATGAAACAATTTCTACAGGCTCTTACCAGCCACGCAAGAACAAATAACACAAGTCCAAGTATCGTCCGAAAATTAAGTAAAACCAAGGTAAAAAGTACCTCCGCGTCCCCGGCCACCTCTTTGCATAAACTCTGCTCTCCTCGTCGCAAAGGACACCTTGATGGGTCTCCCGTTGAATTCCTTTCCTAGAAAACGATCCAATTTCTTTTTAAAGAGGAACATGCAATGGGGCATTACTGAGGAGCCGAAACAGACTTACCGTCAAACCAGTCAATGGCAGCTTTGGCTGACGGAGGGTCATCAAAGGAGACTGTGGCTTCCCCCTTGGGTCGCCCCGTGGCTTTGTCAGTGTACAGGTTAATCATAGGCATGCCAGTCTTCTTATTCAACTGCAACAGGTAGAGAAGAAACCTGCTTTTATTAATTGGTATGTGAACATATTCAAATAAATGTCATTCAAATGATTTAAAAATTTAAATGGACTGTTTCAATTACAATTGAAATACCATTTGATGATATTTCTTCAGTTGCAATTTTAAACAATCATTTAAGTAATTAAAATGGTCATTTAAATAATCATTTTAATGGAATATTCATTAATTGGATACAGTTACAAAAAACACCCTCCATAAGACCCACCAAACTAAATGAATTACAGTCATTCCCTATCATGCCGTTCCTGGGAGGTGGATACAGCACTAGAGCCCACAGACCCATTCACCTTAATGATGCCTATCTGTTTAAAGTAGTCTGCGACTTCATGAGTTGAAACATCTTCCCCAAGTCCTTGGACAAAGATCGTGTTGTTATCGGAGTTGTCCTGATCACCGCCTGGAAAGTACAGCATTCATAAATCCTGAAAAACATCAATGGCAGACAGCAGAGCGGTTTTCCTGATTTGACATTAGCATGCTACTCACCTGAATCATGTCTAGGTCCATCATCCCTTGGGCCTACAAGGACACACAGAATCAGCCATATAAACTGACTTGACCGACCAAAAAGACTCCAGAAGTGATGACCACTGCTTTGGTAGCAGAATTTAGCACTCTTTGAAATAACCATAAATTGCACCCCCCCCCCCGCCACATCAGCCTTTTGCACCACACATGAACCCCTTCCGTAGAATGAAACCAGCTGTCCTCTTATGCAACAATAGGGAATCAACTTGGTGACAAAGGGTGGACAGACCAAAACGAAGGCCCCTTCGGGGGTATCCCACACACAGGTTTAACACAGGATGAAATAATGCTGCATTCCATTTGCCCTCGGAACTCGGATTCCGAGTTTTGAAGCCGGAAGTGACGACATGCGCGCTACCGTTTCTCAGAGATCCGACACATATCTCGGACAGCACAGAGGATCCCGAGTTCAGAATCGAAGATGGCTGCGCTCTTTCTCAATAGAAGGGAAAGTTGTAGCTTTATCCTGTTTAAGCACTACTTCTCATTTGTGGCTCATTAAATCGGTTGCACACACTATACCGTCCAACTTATCTGTGGACGTGTTGCTACGGAGTTTTATACGTGAAGCACCGCGAGTAATGTGTTATCAAGTGATATTGCTAACAATGGCTACCAATTAACCGGGCTAGAATTTGACTTCATGATTAGTCAGATTTACAGTAGTTCAGGCTAATTGTAAGTGAACGAAGATAAAGGCCATTTAAACTGAGGTACCTTAAATCCGACAAGTTGTCCAGCTAAGCAAAAAAAATCTTGCTTTTTCATATGGGTCCATGGTATTGCTACTTCTGTGGCAAATGGAACGCATCAGACTTGGTTTTCCCGAGTTTTTAGCGGATGTGACATATCGGAATCCGAAAATCGGATCCTGAGGCAAATGGAATGCACGATAAGTCCAACCTTTTTGGTTTGGTCTTTCAGACACATACACCGCAATAGTCCTGACGCGCAACACTTACCACCGTAACTTTTGAAGCCACCTCGGTCGCCACCTCTGCAGAAAGAGGGAGAAAAAAATAAAGGTCCGTCATACTGGGCCATCGGCCGAGTCCTTCCCTGATGAGTGAGCAGCTCTTACACCTCAACTGCAAGGACTGGACTTACGGAACAACACAGGCCAAGCCTGGGAAAAACTACACACACTGCCATCTGGAGGTGATCCGGTGAACTCTGCTGCTATTGGATCATTTTGAGGTGGCATTTCAAGCAAGTACAAGTCAGTCAGTCTGAAAGCTAACAGACAGACACAGACTGCAAATGCTTCAAATGACAGAGGGGAAGTTACATTTTATAAGGTGAAATAAAAGTATTAGCAAACACCATAATTCCTCAGACAAAAAGCATCTCAAAATATTGCAAAGCATAGAGATTTTCAGTTTCAGTTTGGAGATTCCTATGTATTCTGCACTACTGTAGGACAGGACACTACAACACCACACACACCGCACCATCCTTCAGCAATCATCAAGTTACATTTCCCTGAGGACACAACAGCCCCATTACTGCCTCACTACCTGTCAAACTTTACCCTCCTAGTTTTCTCCAGCGCTTTTATATTCTAATACCTCCAAAACAGACTTCAGACCTACATCCACAACTGAACAGGGTGAGATTTACAAGAGAACTTATAACAGAACCCGGAGTGAAACAGAATCGAACTTCAGGAGAGTCACGGATCCTGCATCACAGAGTGGAATTATTCACTTTGCTTGATAACTTGTCAGATTTTACATCAGTCAACATGGACTTCATCTTCATTGACTTACATTTGCACAGACTACCTTAAAATATGACAAGTTACCTGGCCAAGCAAGAAATCCTGCTTCATGTTACAACCGGTGTGCACTAACTTTTTTTGGTTTGGGAGTTTGACAAACACGTTGCAATAATCATTTGGTTGAAGGCAGGTATGTTTGAAGTTTCCCAAAGGAGGAAAATGATCCTGGGAATACAATGGTTAACGGATCAGGCAAGAGTGAGTACTACAGTGATTCTGCAGGTGACATTTCTCAGGCCATAGCAAAAACAAAAAGTACCCAACCAACAAATCATCTAATCCAGCACCTCAATGACCCACCTGGGAAGACAGATTCCTGCCCCCACCCTCGGGACACTCATTATGAAATCAGTTTGTTAACGGCACTAATAGGCTATATTACACTGTCATTTTGCAGACGCCGTTATAAAGCTATAATGAAAAACGGACAAGGTAGGTAAACTGAGCAGGCGTTTAGTTGAGTGGGAGCAACACAACAACGCTCCCTTAAATCCCATTCTCACACACACTGAAACCCTATTTTAGCATTGTCGTGTAGGAATGAGAGCAAATCGGTAAAATCTACGTGCGAGTCTATGTCCTGGTGACCTAGTAACGTTAACGGTAACTTTGACACCTGTTACTTTACCGGTATGGATGACTGAGTGAGAATGACAATTTTTCTCCCCCGTGATGTTTTTACCTGAATTGGCAACAGGTTCACACACCAGGGGAGACTCACTTCCCGTAAAGAAACCTGTTAAGTTCGTCCAAGTCCCATGCACAGTTAGGCTGTGCGCAGTGCAGGGTAGGCCGAGTCCCATGCACAATTAGGCTGTGTGCAGTGCAGGGTAGGCCGAGTCCCATGCACAATTAGGCTGTGTGCAGTGCAGGGTAGGCCGAGTCCCATGCACAATTAGGCTGTGTGCAGTGCAGGGTAGGCCGTCATGTTGTTGAGTGAGGCACTGGAGACGGGCAAACTTGAGGAATCAATTTACCAGCAGCTTAAAAAAAAATATTTTTTTTCTGTAATGGTTAGAACTAGGCTATATTAATTCACAATTGATTACATCCAACATTCCATGACTAAACACATGCACAACAATGGTCTGATGTTTGCATTTTTTCCCCAGACAATCGGGCCTCATAGCTACAAGGAAGTGGAACAGATTTCACCCCCCCCCCCCAAACTAAAAAAACAAAACGACTGCAGAGATTGAGATTTTATCCCAGATCCACTCCAAATTACCAAACAGGAGTATTAATGAATAGGGAGGTCCACAATACTACATAGCCATCTGTTATGAAACCATAACCAAAATGATACTGCTTGGTGAAACTGCCTGGTTAAACACTCTTGCAGACAAGCATTTATCGGCAACAATAGGATACCGCATAACAGTGGGGAAGAACTGTGGAAAGATCTGTACGATAAAATCATCAATTTAGCTATGCTCGCTGCTTAAATGGAATTTAGTGAATGCTAAATAACAGCAAGCAAGTGTTTAGCATCTATTGAATGAGGAATCAAACCAGAATACAAAGGAGAAGTTGTACAGGGCATGACCACAATATATTAACCCACCACTGCCATACACTTCCCAGAAAATGACACCCCATACAATAACCCAAAACCATTCAGTAAAACTACAGAAGGGGTACATTTGTCAACACTGAGCAATAACAGGTTGACGGAGAAAATGCTATGGAGGTAGAAGATAGATGGACGATAGTGTTACCCTTTAGGGCAGCACAAATAATGAGCAACATCAACTTCAAGAAAAGGAGCTGTTTTCAATTTTCGGACCATCACTGAGCAGGGTGACGGGGTTAACGTACCCCACGCCATGTGGTGGACCCCTGCCGTCTCGGTCAAATCCTCCTCTGCCTCGGTACCCGTCATTCCGATCACCGCCTCCATAGCCCCTCCCCCCCTGACTGTCATCACCTAAGGACAGACGACATCCATTGGTCAAAATTCGAAGGCTGTAAAAACAAAACAACTTTGCTCAGAAACCTGAGGCAGATGATTACTCCGTAAAGAGAAACACAAACATGGCAAAAGTCAGTTATGTGAAGTAGAAAGTTTGGGGGGGGGATAATTTTAAGGCATACCATCAAATCTCCTGCTATATCCTCCTTGAGACTGCCCAAAGGATCCTTGCTCTCCATATGATGGTTTGGCACTGAACCTTTGAAAGAAGTTAAATTGTTTTGATAGCAATCACACCTTTCTGTATTTCAATTTTGTGGTACAAGCTGTTCAGTTCAAAAGCGCTAAAACCAATCTTACCCCCCTGACGAGTCACTGCTCTGCTGGGTGTAGCTGTCATATCCCGGTCGCTGTTGTTGGCCATATCCACCAGAGGAAAAGTTCTCACTTGACTGCCCAAAATTTGCCCCTAGAAGAGCAGGACAATAAAACAGTCAACGCAGTATCCTAAAATGTTCTCCAACAGTGTTGGCTTTACACAGCCACATTACACTGCAACTAAGCATCTAATATTTGCATTTCCCCAACCTTTAGGTGACTATGGATCAGCTTATATTTTTTTGGGGGGGTTGGGCACTGGCAGCATATTACTCCGTGGGCCAGATTAAAGTTTAGCCATTTCCATTTTTTCAAATGTGGTACAAAGGCATGGATGGCAGGGGTTGTTCATAGATAAAGTGTGGCTTTTAGACTTATTTTGTAAATGAATCAAACCCTCGCCAAACCCCCAGTGATCCATGGCCCAGTGGAATCCCTAGTCCAGATTCTTCACCACCAGGCCACCAACACATACCTTGCTGCTGAGTATACCCCGAAGTATAGTTCTGTCCGCCATATGTCGATCCATGATTTCCTTGACTGTAGCTCTATATGCAAATGTATTAGAGAAAAAGCCTTGGCTGAGAAAAACTAAAAACATCTACATGTAACAGCGACAGGCTGCCGACAGTAATCTGATAAAAGACGGCACCCATCAACGTCCATGCTCACCTGTTCATTTTGTTGGTAGGTCTGGGTGGGAGGTGCACCGTAGGACGAATAACTAAAAATAAAACAAAAAAAATCATTCGTAACTATGAACGGAAGCCAGACCTCCTGAGGCCTAAAAGCAGGCAGAAGACGTTTCTGACATACGATCACAGGTTACAGCAGCAGCCGAAGTGCTAATGAATGTATTACAGCACGGTCCTAACGCAGGGTTTCACCTTTGCTGATGTGCCCCAGGCTGACCATATCCGGAATCTTAAAAAGAGAAAAACGTCAGTTCATCACAACATCGAAGATAAAATCTGCAACGCGAGACAAGCATCAGCAGCAATCAGCTCAATTTGCATTGAGCGCTATTCTACCACAAGGACGTGCTTAAGACAAGGTGCTCTTTGGAGCCAACTGTACATTATGAATAAATTTCAAAAATAAGCCAAGTTGCAGGCCAGCATTACGGCTCTTGTACAATAGGTGTTTAATACATAGTAAAAGACACAAACCAGAAATATGGTAAAGGCCTGATTTGCATCATGATGACTTCGACGAAAATGGCGGACATGCAAGTTTCGGCTTCACGTTAGCGCGTCGTTACAATGACGAAAAGCGATATTAACATGGAGAACCGGTTTAGAAGTATACGTACGTACACCGCAACCGTACGGATTCGCGTTTCTGATTAAAGAAACCAGCCAGTTCGTCGCTTTCAGATTTGGGAGTTTTACTGGCAGAGCAGACACAGTGCAGTAATACTGCGGATTTCCAGTTCACTTCTGTCGCTTAAGTTTCGTATAGATTCAGATAAATCATCATAAAATACACCATCGGTCGGCGGCCTTACCAGAAGACATTCTTCAGCTTTATATAAAAACCAGTACCTCAACTTTGCAAAAAATAAAACTAAGAGCACAACAAAGCACACACTGCAGATCTTATGAACTCCGACCTGCAGCTGGAAAATACCAAAACGCAAGTTGAATAAATATATTGTACGAAATTTCCAAAAAGTACAATTAACTAAAAAACCAGTGTGATCATTTAAAAATATTTTAAATACATTTTTTAAATAAATGACTATGAAAGTACTAATTGGCGTATGTCTAATTTATAAATGTATATTTCTTTCAGAGGTGCCCCCTTGTCTTTGTTATAGTGGTACATTCCCCGCGTTCTCCGTTTTGTACTGATCACGTGTGACAACCGACCGGCGTCTATGATTTTATACAGTGAAAGTAACAAACACATTTGTATAATCACTTGTCAGGAATAATAAGTCGGTTGGGCTAAATAAAATATTTCAAATAATCGACTAGCTGTTCAAAATGTGTGACTGGTAAGATACCGCTTCTCTCAGTTTAAGTGAGGGAAGAAGTACGACGTCACACAGGATGCTACGACACGACTTTGCTGAGATGCTGTACTGTGGTTTTGTTGATATATTAAGTGGCTGACGCGTAATTAAACACGGTTTAGAATACGTCCCCCGTATTATTTAAAGGATACAAAAATTAAATTACTAAAAGAACACTTTGACAGAGGATGACAGCAAAATAGGTTAAACATTCTGTCCCCCGAAGTGATTTGTATATTCCTTAGTGAATGAATAGTAATTTTTAAAAGCTTCAGGGACACTTAAAATAATTGCCAGTACAATAACTCAGTGTAAATTTAATTAACATCGGTAGAACTTTTAAACTCTCCGTACGTCACCCCCAAACCGCAATGTGTTGTTTCAAAAAAGTGGTCAATAAATATAAAACACGTGTAACGCAGCTCCAGGCCTATCCGAGCGCAATGAAGTTATTCATAATTTTCCTGTGACAGCCTTCATTGGTAGTCATTACAGAGATCCAAAAGGGTTTTGGTTTAATACCAATCACTGACAAAGGACCTCAACATCCATTCCAGCAGATCCGTTATAAAACAAAACCAACAAATGACAATGCCACAACGCTGAACATATTCCCCGTAACTCAAGTTGCATCAGATCTTGTCCAATGCCACACGTATGAAATCGGAACCAGTATTCTGGGTTTCAATGTATGTCCTTATCAGTGAATGCATTGATGTTTCGTATTTTTGCCAGTAGATGGCAGTGATATACAAGTTGTCCCCCAATACGGAAGTACTTAATATTTTACTGCGGCTGTTCCGAACGCGTTGGAGATGTTTCGAGCCGTTGTCACAATTTTCTCAAATATTTTTCTTAATGACTGTCTCCTGCTAGTACTTTAGGGGATTCGCGATGGCAGGCGCATATTTCCAGTTTTCCTGCATATGTTCAGGTTGACGTTTGACCTATCAAGCTGAGCTGGAAGCATTTTAACAATGGAAACCTCATTTAGTAACTTAGTGAAAGGAGGCTTTCAGCGGGCAAAGAAATCTGCCCAGGAGTTAGAGTTTACTAGTGGGGTAGCGACGGTGATCGCAATTTCTGCGGTTTTGTTTATAGTTTCAACTTTCTGTCATATTCCAGCCGACGTGGGCAGCCTGGACAGCAGCGCTGTTTTGAAAGGAAACGGTAAGGATCTGAGGAGCAACAATGTTTCTGTACGGAGTTCCGTGCTACTGGAAATCGACTGTCACAATGGGTCCGCTGATTCTTGTATATTTTAAATCTGATCATCGGAACTGGAAGCAGGCATAACCTTTCCGGACTCAGAGGTTTTTAATAAGAAGCAATATATTAAAATCCTACCTATAAGGAACTGGGTTAAAGTCATAATTTTGCGTTTATTTTAGAATATCCGGTCTGCAAATGACGAACACCTAAAACTCCACATTTAGCTAATAAGTCGTCCTTGCACCAGTTTATACATTTTTAAAAATAAATTTATCTTTAATTACACATTTTAAAATCTTAATGATGAACTTCGTTGGACTTGGTACTGTAATACTGGTGGTGCGACGAACACATCCTCGTGGGCAGATGCTGGAGGCTCCTGCAGAACTGCAGGGTCTACAGAAGTGCCCAGTTTGCGAATTCTGACCACAGACTTGTTGTTGCTACTCTGAAGATTCAGCTTAGATCCAGTAGGCTACCACTTACTAGGAGTATGAGGCTGGACTTAGCCAGACTCCAAGATCAAGCTGTTTCTGATGAGTTTGCACGCAGTTTGTGTGAGGAACTTGCAGACTTGGGTGCGACTGCTGACTCTAATATGATGTGGCCAACCTTCCCTGATAAGACCCTGAAGGTTGCCGAGGGTTGTGTTAGTGTTGCCCATGTTCCCAGAAGGAGGTGTTTCATCCCGCAGGGCACCCTGAATATTATCGACAGGAGTGGCACAACTTGGTGGCAACTTCAGTCTGTACCGGGAACTGAGAAGGACGGCTCTGAGGGCAGATAAGGAGGCATTTGTTAGACGAATTTGTGAGCAGGTGACACACCATCTGTGGTCTAGTGACCCATGTCCTGCTTGCAGAGGAATCGAAGCATTACGCACATCTGAATCTGTTCCTCGGAGAATCGCAGTCAGGGCAGGTGATGGGACGGTCCTTACGGGTGACACTGCAGTTGTGACCCGCTGACCGGCTACTCTGAGCAGCTGTTTAAAGCTGACCCTCCAGCTAGGATGTTGGACATTTCTGGGTCTACGGTTTTCGAGGCTGACCCTCCGATCAGCTGTGAACCACCCAATCTCACTGAGATTGCACGGCTGCAGGGATCTGTGGTATCCGGGGTGAACTTCTCCAGGCTTCTGGTAAGGCTGTCCTCCTGGCATTGCAGGTAATCTTTGCTTCCATTTGGGAGTCTGGCGTCATCCCAACTGACTGGAAAATGGGACTTGTAGTCCCTATCTGGAAAGGGAATGGTGATCGCCTGGATTGCGGCAACTACAGGGGGATAACACTGCTCTCAGTGCCGGGTAAGGTCCTTGCTTGGGTCATCCTTAACAGGATCCGTGATCACTTGCTTGTCTGTCAGTGATGGAGCAGTCTGGTTTTACACCTAAGAAGTCTACCATGGACCGTATCCTTGCGCTGAGGGTTTTCATTGAGCACAAGCGCAAATATCGGCAGAGGTTCTTTACAGCCTTTGTCGATTTTCGTAAAGCGTTCGACTCAGTTGATCGAGTTGCCCTGTGGGACATCCTGAGACTTCACAGGATCCCCCTGAAGTTACTGGACGTCATGGCCGACCTGTAAACTGGTACTGTGAGTGCTGTGCAGAGTGGAGGGAGAACCTTTGACTTCTTCCCAGTTGACTCTGGGATTTGCCAGGGATGTGTCCTTGCTCCTACTTTGTTCAATGCTTGCATGGGCTGGGAGTTGGGCAGGGTTGTGGGGTGCAGCATCTGTGGGGAGTCTGTTGGTGAAGAAAGATTTACTGATCTTGACGATGCCGTGATCTTAGCGGAGTCAATGGAGGCTCTGATCAGGTCTCTCGAGAGACTGAGTGAGGAGTCTGAGTGTCTGGGGTTGCGGGTGTCCTGGATAAAGACCAAGATCCAGGCCTTTAATGACTTCTTAGGCACCGCCATCAGTATTGTGTCTGTCTGCGGGAAGGTGATGACCTCGTCGAGAGATTCACTTACCTCAGCAGCGACATTCATGTCTCTGGTGAGTCTTCCTATGAAGTCAGCAGACGGATTGGGAGAGCATGGGGGGTCATGAGGTCGCTGGAAAGGGGTGTGTGTAGCTCCTGATATCTTTGTTAGAGGACGAAGGTCCAAGTCTTTAGAGTCCTGCTGCTCCCTGTCTTGCTGTATGGCTGTGAGACATGGACGCTATCCAATGAGCCGAGACGAAAACTGGACTCATTTGGTACTGTGTCTATTCGGGGAATCCTTGGGTACCACTGGTATGACTTTGTGTCGAACAAGCGCCCGCTAGAGGAGTCCCAAAGGAGGCACATTACCTGCATTGTGAGGGAGCGTCAGTTACAGCATTACGGCCATGTGGCGCGTTTCCCTGAGGGTGATCCGGCTCACAGGATCCTCATTGCTTAGGACCCCAGCGGCTGGACCAGGCCAAGGGGACGCCCACGTGACACCTGGCTGAGGCAGATACGCATGCTCCCCTACCTGACCTGACCTGACCTGAATGATGGACACATTCCCATTTCTTTTAATATCCAGCAGTTGAGGCTGTAGGATTTTAACATAAACATGTGATCGGTGATATAGGTGCCCGCTGTCTCACGCTGCTTCCTCTTCCCGACCTCCAAACAGTTCAGCGGCTCTTCACCTACTCCTTCTTCCATGAGGAGGCGTGGGGGCTGCTGCTTGGCGCCGGGGCCCTGTTGCTCCTAGGCGGCGGGTTGGAGAGAGGCCTGGGCACCGTGCGCTTCCTCTACCTGCTGCTCCTGCTGCCTGCGTGCGCCGGACTGCTGTACGCGCTGCTGGAGCCGCTGCTGTTCGGCGCGGCGGCGCGAGGACGCGTGCTGGGCCTGGTGCCTGCGGCCCTGTCCCTGCAGGGGGTGGCCGTCACGCGGAGCCTCATGCGCAGGACCATCCTCTTCGGCATCAACGTGCCTGCCCTCGCCCTGCCCTGGCTACTCCTGCTAATCGCGCACCTCATTCCGGGTGACGTCCTCCTCTGTGACGCCTTGGCTGTAATCGTGGGACAGATCTGTATCCTTACCGTCAGTGTGATTAAAACAAGTAGCGTAGTGGTTAAGGACTTCAATGTGTGAAGGTTGCTGGTTCCAAGAAGTGCATTACTGTTGTACCTTTAGATATCCTTCTTCAGAGTAGATTTAGTAAAACTATGGTAAAATTAAACTAATTAGCCAGGCCATAATATCAATAAACATCTTAGTAGTAAAATCATCATCATGCAGTAAAATAAGGAAAATGAACAGCGCTTTCAGTTCAAAAACTGCTAATTTTCCTTCATAGGTCATTTAAGGTGAATTGAACTTGGTATGGGCATTGGATCTCAAAGTGCTCTCTGAGGCCTGGCACAGTGCTGCCTACGATGCCTCGTACCACGTCCTTAACCTGGGCTCCCCACAACAGATGGAAAGGGCTGGCTTGCATTGCTGACCCTGTCTGAAAGCAGGGCGTCTCTTCTGGATAAGAAGATGCCATTCAGACTGCTGCGGAAGCTGCCGGGGGTAACATTTATGCCAGCGGCTGTGGAGGAGAGGAGGAGGACCACACACCGTCTGTAAGTACTCAGAAGATCAACCTTTGACACGGTCGGTCCGATTCATAAGACAGTCAGTGGTGCTCCTGGGAGACAGGAACTCTTATGTTGCCCACAGTACTTTGAGATTCTACACGGAAGGAAGGACGTAACTTTGGATTGAACATTGGGGTAGTTGAGGTCTCTGCCCATTTTGGGGGAGACATAATTATTTGGGGGGGGGTGCATTGACCAGTTTTTTTTTATTATTATTATTGGGGGGAGTTACAACTCCCTCCGTAATTTACACCCATTCCCGGAAGCTCCACTTTGCAGGTGTGATGAGATACACATCATACATGAATGACCAGCGACGGTCAAAGACATCTAGTGGCTGGAGAGTGTATTGCATCGATCTGCTCAGTACTTCAATGTATTGATGTTGATTTTCCTTTGCAGTTGCAAGCCTGCTCCAGGGTCCTATCCGGTTCAAGCTTACGCCCCAGTGTCATCCCCCCTCCCCACACAAGCTGTGGGGACTCCCCCCCAAATGTACGAAGGCTGGAAACACTCTACATGCACCCAGGAAGGCTACACTCCATTGACCTTACACCAGGGGCCCAGCGCTGGGTGGGGTCGTCATCACAGCCAATGGCAGACTATCCCTGCACAGCACAGCAGTCATCACAGCCAATGGCAGACTATCCCTGCACAGCACAGCAGTCATCACAGCCAATGGCAGACTATCCCTGCACAGCACAGCAGTCATCACTGGACACAAGGCAGCACTTGTGCACATTCTCATGTCAGCTCTCCTGCAGCCTTTGCTCCTCAGTCAGTGTGCTGTGCTGATCCCCCCACTGTCCCCCCCGGGGGACCGTCCAACATCCCCGGGACACCCCAGGTTAGCCTGCTTACCCATGGAGTCCATGCACTGCCCCTTTAAAGAAGTACTGATGTGTTGAGACCATGGAATGTTTTTTTTTTAATGGATATGTTGAGTAGGAGTACAGTTTTAGTACGGAGGCTGTTTTCAATCTGGCAACTTTAGATGTGCTTTATTTACTCAAGCAGATTCGAATCGTTCGATTGTATACTCATCAAAAAAAAGATTAAAACCTTTGATTGTTACTGAGGCTGTACGCTTAACTGTAGAACATTTCTGTTTGTACATTTGGGATGTTCTTCAGAGTCCATTTCTGTAGCTTAAAAGGTACAACTGCAAGGGTAAAGCCCCAGTGACAAGCAAAGATGTAAATTTTTACCCTTTTTTCAGAGAGTGTACATTATTGAAAATATATTCTCCTCCTATATTTAGCTTTAATTGATTGATGGTAACTACAGGTAAAATGTAAATATTTAAATTTTGGCCATGAATCTAATCCTGGCCTTAATGGGTTCCTTTAGCACCCTTAATTAAACATGTTTGTAGTTTTGTTTAGTTGAAACTTGTAAATGGAGTCGTTACATTTAATCTCTGCTGTTACCATGGTAACGTCTCATTGATTTCGACCAGGATCTGTGTTCTAGGCCCCGGGAGGCAGAGCTGACTTGTGGAGTCAATGCCGCCGCCTTGTGTTAACAGGCTCTCAAGTGGTTAGATCCCACTTAATTTAAATGGTCCCTCACAAGCAAAGGCTGTTAGAGGTAATTGTCTTGCGTGGTTTTGCTTCAGTCTGCTGGAAGACGGCTAATCACAACTGTGCATCAAGCAGAAAGTCCTGTGTCTTAGTGGCAAAACATTTCTAATCATGATTTCCTTCCCAATTAAGCGTAATGCATTTTATTTGTAATTTGGCATCCCTAGACCTCCAAAAGAGTTTATTTTATGTTTTGGGGAGTAATTCTGGAAGGACAGTTTCTGTGTGGAAGGGGCCTTAGAGTGAACTTGCAAGTGCAAGAGATCACCACTGCGAAGGGGTTAATCCATAGGGCATCAAAAAGCCTGTGCATCTCCCTGACCTCTCCATCTCCACTACTGTTCCTTGTCTGAATGTATTATAATGTATCATGACCATTATAATGTTTTTTACATTGTAGAATCGCACTTCGGAACTGAAGTATCATTCATGATCTGGTTTATTCTTACATGTATGTCCTCAGAGGCTCTCAGTCAGTCCACATCTTTGCTCCTTCCCTGATCCCAACACACCTTGGTGTTCCTGATTGTTTGATTAAGGCGTGCAGGGAGGGAATAAAAACGTGAACCGTGAAATACTGTAAGTTAATCATAAGTATGAATTCTGAGACTCTGCCTATTTCCATATTCACCTCCCCTTTTAAGCATGTAACCTGATTTATCAAACATATGGGTTTTTATATTCTGTCAAACCCAAATAATTTAAACGTAACTACATCGACGGACAAGAAATAAGAAACCTAGTAAGATAAAGAATCAACTATCCCTATCTCTGTTTGACTGAATAGTTACATAATGACCATCCTCCCAAATAGAAATCCTTTTTTAGTGATTACAGCCCCCCCAACTAGTTCCCCTCCCTCAAATGTAAAAAACAAGTAAATCATAGTGACTGAAACCGTATTTGGCTTTTGGTGATATGGATACACAACTTTTATAATCAAATTCTCTGTGATAGCAATATTTCCCTTTTAGATTAAAATTACAAGAGGCAAATTTCGTTTTAGAACTGTTATATTTATAAATCTAAAAGTTCCACATTGTGTTGCTTCATAAACACGACACTCTGCATTGCGTGTAAACGTATAACAAATCTTTGATAAATTTAATGCATTTTGAAAAGACTAAACCAAAACAAAAAGGCACTGGCTTTCATTGTTAATTATACTACAAAGACCACACCAAAAGTCAGCATTTGGTTCCTAAACACAGAAAAATGAGCATTTCAGTTACTGAGGTGGAACTTCACCTGAGGAGCAGGTGAAACCCTTGTCTATTATCTAATATTATAGAGCAAAAGGACAGCATTGAACAGTGCAGTAAAAGGAAGCAGATCTATAAATAAAACCTAGAAAAATACATATAGCCAAAGAAGCAGACATATCTGACTGTACATTTAACAGGCGGGAGGGTAAGATGGAAGAATGGCTGGAGACAGACCAAAACAGATTTCAAGACTAAATACTAACTTTTTAAAGAGTATATAATTAGAAAAACAAGATGAACCCAGAAATGTCCTGGAAAATGAGTCACGGAACAGCAGCCCAAGAAGGGAACAATAGCTTAATTAACCCAGCTAATCTAACACCGATAGCTTGCTTAATCCAGCCTATTTTAACACCAGCAGAATCAATGCATTCTGGAGACTCGCTTTGGCTTATATTGCATTAAAAAAATATAATAATGATGATTAAAAATGTCCTGCGCAAGTTTGAGAAAGTCGACCAGAATCACGTGCATATAATTTCAATTAGTCTTACTAGATCATAAAATGTCCTGTTTCAAAGTGGGATCAGTCATTTTACAAATGTTACAATGTGCAGGACTCAACAGCGAAATCATGGTTCTTATGAAGTGCGTGAAAATACCCCCTAATCCTTCATATACAAACAAACGTTTGGTGGTTCCGGGTGGCTGTCCATCATGCACAGCTCTCAAAAACGGGAAATTTATTCTGTCTGATTTACAAGGGTACCCTCTCATCACTGTAAAAGTCGCCCCTCGCAATTTGCGGTTCATCATGACACTTTAAGGAAATTTTCTTTCCTTAAATGTTGATAGAAACCAGAGAGACTAAATTAAACCAGAGTTCAGGTTGATCACTGAAGCACCTCACCTTCCAGCATCAACATATTAACCAGATATGATGGAAAAAAGTAGGAGGAAAGTTGATGCATGACAGTCACATAATCAAAAAGGCAGTTTTGTTTAATGGAAGTACAATAGAAGTATGACAAAGTGTCACCCTGTGGTTTCACCAAAGCAGAATTCTAGATACATCAATATCACAATATTATGGCTACATTTCATTTACATACATACAGTTGTGTTCAAAATAATAGCAGTCTGACATGGCTAACCTGATCAATCACCGTTTTTGGTAGAAATTATATTTCTACATGGCAAATAATTTACTAGTAGGTGTAGTAGAGTAATGGAAAACCAACAGAGCCAACAGTCATGACATGCATGCTGCTGATTATGTGTAACAGAATCATTACTTGAAAGGAGCGTGTTCAAAATAATAGCAGTGTGAAGTTCAATTAGTGAGGTCATTCATTCTGTGAAAAAGTAGGTGCCAATTATGGGCCTTATTTAAGGAAGGAAGGCAGCAAATGTTGTGCATGCTGGTTATAGAGCATTTCTCTCTGAAATTCTGAGTAAAATGGGTCATTCCAGACATTGTGCAGAAGAACAGCGTACCTTGATTAAAAAGTTGATTGGAGAGGGGAAAACATATAAAGAAGTGCAGAAAATGATAGACTGCTCAGCTAAAATAACTGCTTTAAAATGGCAACCAAATCCTAAAAGACATGGAAGAAAATGAAAAACTACCATTCAAATGGATCGAAGAATAGCCAAGATGGCAAAGACTCAGCCAATGATCAGCTCCAGGAAGATCAAAGAAGGTCTAAAGTTACCTGTAAGTACTGTTACAATCAGATGACGCCTATATGAAGCCAAGCTATCTGCAAAAAGCCCCCGCAAAGTCCCACTGCTGAAAAAAAGACACGTGCGGAAGAGGTTACAATTTGCCAAAGAACACACTGACTGGCCTAAAGAGAAACGCCGCAACATTTTGTGGACTGATGGAGGCAAGATTGTTCTTTTTGGGTCTAGTGGCTGCAGACAGTTTGTCAAATGACCCCCAAACACTGAATTCAAGCCACAGTGCACTGTGAAGACAGTGAAGCATGGTGGTGCAAGCATCATGTTATGGGATGTTTCTCATACTACGGTGGCGGGCCTATTTATCACATACCAGGGATCATGGATCAGTTTGAATACCTCAAAATACTTGAAGAGGTCATGTTGCCTTATGCTGAAGAGGAAATGCCCTTGAAATGGGTGTTTCAACAAGATAACGACCCCAAACACACCAGTAAATGTGAAACTTCTTGGTTCCAGACCAACAAGATTGACATTATGGAGTGGCCAGCCCAATCCCCGAACCTTAATCCAATAGAAAACTTGTGGGGTGACATCAAAAATGCTGTTTCTGAGGCACAACCAAGAAATGTAGTCCAATCATCCTGGGCTGGAATACCTGTTCACAGGTGCCAGAAGTTGGTCGACTCCATACAACACAGATGTGCAGCATTTCTCAGAAACAGTGGTTATACAATTAAATATTAGTTCAATGATTCAAAGGAAAGCAAAATCTTAAAACATTTTTCAGTTCATACAGTGAATCTTTGAGTTTGTAAAGAAGAATGTGGACACTGCTATTTTTTTGAACAGCCGAATATTCCCTTTCCTTCACTTTCTGTAAAGGAATAACACAAATGTGATTAATTTCTCTTCTTGTTTTGATTTGGAATAGAATTTGTAGTGTTCCTGATGCATTTGCTTGTAAGGAAATAAAAACTATTATAAGGATTTTCAGCTTTATTCACTTTTCTAGACACACTGCTATTATTCTGAACATACTAATTCCATTAGTATCAATCAAGTTTGTCTCCCAAATATAGGGTTTCAGCACCTAATTCCCATAAAATGTCACATTTCACAACTATCCCTTTTTAACAAACATCAGCTAAACCAATATTTATCCTTGTTGTATGTTTGGCCCTATGTGATGTTTTCCATATTGGTAAGTGGCAGTTAAAATGATTACTAGGGTTCCAAATTAAACCAATAAACAACAACCAAAAAGTTACTTTTGATGCTATTTACACAAGCAGCGCCACCGACTAAAGTGACTAATCTCAGCCAGATGAAAAAAATGCTTGTCATCCAGAAAAGATGGGCAGCAATGGTGTCCAATGGGAGTGAAGGCTCCTCCCCCCTGCAGAAACCCCGCCCTCAGCTCCACACGTCCTGCGAGTAGCGGCCCTTGGTCATAAGCCTCTTGATGTAGTCCACGGCCTGAGTGTGCGTCAGGCCGCCCAGTTCCTCGGCGATCTCGCAGAAGACGTTTTGGACATCGCGGGCCATGTTCCGGGCGTCGCTGAAAAAAACCCAGCAGCCACTTAATGATGTAACGTCTCATGCTCAGCGAGGACCGCACCCCTACGTGGGGCTGGAACCTGGCACAGGCGTGGGTGTAAGCTGCACTCGCACCGAAAACATTCCAACCAACAAAGGCAAAACCATTAAGAACAGAAGAAATTTACAAACGAGAGGAGGCCATTCGGCCCATCAAGCTCGTTTGGGGAGAACTAAACTAATAGCTCAGAGCTGTTAAAATCTTATCTAGCTCTGATTTAAAGGAACCCAGGGTTTTAGCTTGCGCTACACTAGCAGGAAGACTATTCCATACTCTAACTACACGCTGTGTAAAGAAGTGCTTCCTCAAATTAATTTTAAAATGTTCTCCCGCTAATTTCCACTTATGGCCACAAGTTGTAGTATTTAAACTAATATTGAAATAGTCATTTGGCTGAACAGCATCCAGATCTGTTAGAATCTTATAGACCTGGATCATGTCCCCCCTTAGTCTCCTTTGCACAAGGCTAAACAGATTCAGCTCAGCTAACCTCTCCTCATAAGACATTCCTCTAAGACCAGGAATCATTCTCGTAGCTCTACGTTGCACCTTTTCCAAAGCAGCAATGTCCTTCATAAGGTATGGTGACCAAACCTGCACACACCTTTTCCTTTTTACTTTATTCTTCATTTCCTTAGTAAACCACCTTGGTTGTAGTTTCCTAGATTTAGTTTTGCTGGAAACAGGTACGAAGTCCTCTTGCACTTGCAACAATGTGCTTTTAAAAAATTCCCAAGCCTCTTCAACTGTTTTGCTATTTTACTCCATCCAGTTTACAGTTTCTAGCTTCAGTCTTATATCATTAAAGTTAGTCTTCCTAACATCGTATACTTTTGTTTTGAGCTTTGCTCTTCGGACACTAAAATGAACCTCGAATTTAACCATGTTATGATCACTACCGTCCAATGGTTCTAAAACCTCTAATTTTCCAATCCTATCCTGGTTATTAGAGAAAACAAGATCAAGAAGGGCTTCTCCTTAACAAACTGAGTAAAACCATCTCAAATTCATTTACAGAAGAGCCAGAGACTGTGTCCCACTGTATCCCAGGTAAATTAAAATCACCCATAACCACCACATCATTTGT